ACACCGCTTCTCCTAGTGTCCCGCCGCCTCATCCCCACTATCTCGCAACCCCAACCCCCTTCAAACACCTCAATTTTATCTAAAACAATACCACAACCCTAAAAATAAATTATTTAAAAAGAAATAATATTTTAATGGAAATAATACGTAAATTGCAATAAAAATGTAAAAATATTACTTGGAATGGAAGAAATTGGATCTTGATCCAACATAGTCAGCCCAAATTTTAGTGACCCGGCCCAATAAATTTAGGCGGGAACATCTTAGAAAATCACATCTTACATTCTACGGAGTATATAGTAAGAAAAGATAGAGATGGAAGGAGCGCTTAGTCTTCATTTAGTCGTGTCTTCGGACCAAGAGTGAAGAGAGAGAGAGAAAGAGAGAGAGAGAGAGCACAGTGCCAGAGTGATTCGGTCGGTGACGCTTCTCCTCCAGTGTTAGCCGGGGAGTATGATGACGTGGAGGTCAAAAGTTGCAAAACTAAAGACAGGTTAACTCATGCACTCCAAAATCGCAGAAAATCTTCTAGGTTCGAGCTGGATCGAGAATTTCTTTGAAAGGTGAGAAATTAAAACTTCAATTATACTTCTTTTATTGAAAGATCCTATTTTTACACTTCGCGTATCTATTAGATCTGTATGAGATTAGGCCTAAATTAGAATTTAAGGTTATGTGTTCTTTTTTTGTTGGATTTAAAGATCTGATAGGTCTTGACTTTATTCCTGGTTCAATGCGATGATTTCAGTTTCTTTTCTAGTTTGTTTATAAAAATACTATTTTTTGTTAGGTGATATTTCAACTGAAAGTTGGGACTTTGATAATGCTTTTGCGCAACATTGATCATGCTAATGGACTGTACAACGGAACATGTTTAATTGTTACAAGGCTGGGTAACCTTCTATTGAAAGCAAAGACGATTCATGGAAAAAATGGAGGCCAAACAGGTTTAATACCGTGAGTTTCATTGAATCCGTCAGATACCATGTTGCCATTTAAGTTTCAAAGAACACAATTTCCGGTTATGGTATCGTACGCGATGACCATAAACAAGAGTCAGGGATAGTCTCTCTCTCATGTTGGTTTATTCTAGACAAAACATGTTTTTAGTCACTAACAGCTGTATGTGGCCATGTTGCGGTGTCGCGAGAGGTTAAAAATAATGATATGTAATTCTGACGATACTCCATATAATACTACAATTAATGTAGTGTATAAAAAGGGTTTTAAGAATGTATGATTGATGTTTAACCTACATTGTTTACTTTACTTCATTTGAACAGTAGGTACTGAATATAGTCTACTTTATAACACATTCTTTATGTTAGTAGTTCTATTTAGAATTAAATAAAAAATATGATACATCACTCATAAAATGCTTTATTTCTATGTGCATCACACAGGTGATGCACTAGTTAAAATAACTAATCCAATTCCAAACTAACTGAATACATGAATATGGATGACAATTAACATTACGAAAGTAATTCAGATCATATAAAAAACAAACGATTGAAAACGCTATTCAGATGGATGCACAAATGCGAACTGGGATGGTTTCCCCGGTGCAATGGCCATTACTATCCAATAGAGCAAGTTCAAACTCGATAGCTTTTTTATCCTCTAGGTAAATGGGCTTCTTTCTGAAGGTGAATGTATTTGGCCCTGCTCCCTGACCTCCCTCTTGGTTTTGCATCTATGATCTTAACTTCAACCAACCTCAAGGATAAGTAAATATTCACAACAACAACAACAAAAAACCCCAATTATATGCCATAATAAATAATGGGTTTTTTGTTATTCTTGAAATAAAAACAAAGCACACAGATTTCGATCTGAAATCAAAGGATTTAATCATAAGAATAGAAGGTTGAGTAGCCCTAAATTTACCATCTTGAAGTAAAACACAAAGGTGGAAACAGATATATATTGTAGGACCTCAGGCGCTACCAACTCTTCTAAAACCAATTGGTGTTAGAAGAGGCACATACCCTAGCCTTATAGTGCATTCAACATGCTAGCGCCCATGACATTCGATTGTGACTTGACACACATAGCCTTCGCCACGGGACAATTGATGCACACATGGCCAACAATCTCCCCCTCAGCAATTGCTCCCTCATATGCACATATTTTATACACTTTTTAGGCATATTTTGAAGGAGTTTTAATTCCCAATTGAATTAATGTTTACATTTTATGTTAATTTTCCGTTTTATTTTGGGAGGGCAATCCTATGCTTGGTTTTATATGTTTTGCAGATATTTTGAGACCGTTTCGGCCCTAGGATTCGAACCGCGGACTTCAAACATTGGAACTAGAGCTTTGACCATCGCACCACAGCTGATTACTCGGCAAATCACAGGCAGACAACAATTATGTTCTTGCTTTGAATCGGCCATTGATTGAGAGAGAAAAAAATGACAAAACACCAACACTGGAGGGGGAATCAAACACGGGATCACGCGGCACGTCAAGCAGCTTCATTTCCATGTGCGCTACTGTGCTTGTACTGACTTTAAGTGAGACTGTTTGTATATACTCCGTATATACGAATTCATCTATAAAAACCCAACCCTTCTCTTCTTCAAGGAGGTTGGAACCCCCCACTTCTCTACTCTCTCCATTTCCGAAATTCTCCTCCTTCATCACTAATATCTTACCACTTTCTTCTTCCAAACACATAAAAATTACTACATCTTCATCATCATCAACACCATCTATTTTAGTTGGAGCTCAAGAACACATCTTTCATTTTGTAAGATTTTTATTATTGTAATAAATATTTATTTGTTTAAGCTTCAAACTATGAACTTCTAAATTCCATTGGGGTTAGAAGTTGGTGTAATTAATTGTCCATCTTAATGTTTTAAATATTTTTAACATGGATTGTTAATTTTATTTTTATTTAGATGTTGTATTTAAAAATAAATAAATTTGAAATGTTTGTGATTTTTAATTAAGGGCCCAATCATAAACATAATTGTTAAAAAGGAATTTGAGCTAAAATTGAAATAATCATAAAATAGAACATTTTTTCAATTACACCGTAAGCCTTCTCTTCCTTTAACCGGGATTGAAGACTTTCGGGTGGACATAGTTATTGAGTTGTATTTTTACACCATTAAATTGGGTAAACATACAATAAAATATTTATGGTTGTCGTTGTTACTAAATAATCACTCCGGATTTATCATTAGCGTGTTAAAGTCGGAGTGGTTATTATTTAGGTGAACTGCGAGAGCGTCCCTAAATAATTTTCTACAACCCCACACATTCTATATAAAAATAAATTAACAATCCAACATTTATAAAAACATTGGACAATTAATTTACCAATTTCTACCCCTAACTTTTTATCATCAAATAACTTTGTGTTGTTTGGAACTCTCTTCTTTTACACTTTTTATTTTATCTTTAAAACCAAAAAGACCAAAATATTTTACAACTTCTTTTGTAAACTTTTGTTTAAATTAAATTAACTCACGTCTCCCTGAGGTTCGACACCCTACTTACAAGGGATTCTTTTTAGTTGTTATTTTTGCCCATTTTATACTGCAAATCAACTTGGCGCCGTTGCCGGGGAAACGGTTTGAGTTTTTTTTTATTTTAAACATAAGTTTTATTGTTTATTTGTTGTAAATATTTGTTATTATTTTGTTTTCCTAACCTCTTCTTGCAGGTACTAAAAAAACACAAAAAAAAAAAACTAAAACAATACAAACAAAAAAAAATAACCAAAAAAAAAGGTAAAAAAAAAATTCCTTTAAGTTCCTTTACTCTTGAACGACTTGGACATATTGACTTGAACATATTGGACATACCTGGACATATTGAACTATCCCACAGGTCGGATTTTCCGCCAACGGTGATTGGACATTTTTCTTTCTTTCTTTCTTTTGCCCGCTGACCGGCAAAGCCGTCACAGGGTTTGTACATTTAATTACTGCACTTTACATTTCTGCATTTTTTTTCTTTCTTTCCAGGCGTGCAAAGCCGCTATTGGATATATATCTATATATTATATATTATATCTACTATATATTATATATATTATATATACTATATATATTATACATATTATATATTATATATTATATATTACATATTACTACGTATATATTATATATTATATATTATATATTATATATTATATATCTATATACCATTGCTAACTCTTTTTATTTTTTTTAGTGTCCTCGTTGGTTTATTACCGCTTGGCACTCTAACCGCTAACTACTAACTAAGGTATCACTTGTCTCGGTGGTTTTTACCTCTTGACTTAAGTGAGAACCTTTTTATTAATTTTTGCACATTACATTTTTTTTTCTTCTTTTCCTTTCCCCCTTTNCTAACTCTTTTTATTTTTTTTAGTGTCCTCGTTGGTTTATTACCGCTTGGCACTCTAACCGCTAACTACTAACTAAGGTATCACTTGTCTCGGTGGTTTTTACCTCTTGACTTAAGTGAGAACCTTTTTATTAATTTTTGCACATTACATTTTTTTTTCTTCTTTTCCTTTCCCCCTTTCCCTTCTCTTTTCATTTTTTTTCTTCCCCCCCCCCCTTTTTTTTTTATTTTCCTTCTATTTCCCCTTCCCCCTCTCTCTCTAAACCTCCCCAATCCCTTTCTTTTTATGCTAACGCGTTCACGTGGGATTAATCAAGAAAAATTTTTCTTTCCAGAAATTGAAAAATATTTGAAAGAAATCAGAAAAAGAAAGAAAATGGAAGTTCCACGGAACGATGTTCTTGAAAATGTGCAGGGAATTCAGAGAAGACAAAATGAAGTTCCGAACAGGAGGACTCTTTCTGACTATGTCACTCCTCCTGTGGCGGAACACAACAACATTATTCCGCCGGATGTCACAGCAAACAACTTCGAAATCAAACCCGCTGTCATCCACATGGTCTCATCTGATCAGTTTGGTGGAGGACCAACAGAGGACCCACACAACCATATCACTAAATTCCTCCGAGCTTGCAATACATTCAAAATCAATGGTGTGCCAACTGATGCAATCAGGCTCCGTCTGTTCCCATTCTCTCTAAGGGACAAAGCTCAAAGCTGGCTGGATTCATTTCCAGACAATCATTTCACAACTTGGGACCAGCTTCACGGAGAATTTCTCAAAAGATTCTTCCCGCCTTCCAAAACCGCAAAGATCAGGCAGATGATACAAAATTTCAAGCAAAATCCAAACGAGCCCCTTTACGAGGCTTGGGAGAGATTCAAAGATCTTCAAAGGCAATGCCCACATCACAATATCCAGTCCTGGCACTTAATGATGGCTTTCTATGAAGGCCTAAATGAAAACTCACGGATATTGTTGGATGCCTCGGCGGGCGGATCATTCATGAGCCTTGAACTTGACGAAGCTGAAGAACTCATTGAGCGGATCTCAACAAATGGATCCACTTGGTACTCTGACCGTCCATCCACTCAACCAAAAATTGGAGGCATGTACGAAGTTGATCAAATGTCAGCCATGGCTGCTAAGGTCGATAGCATGATGAGCATGATCCAAAAGATTGCTCAAGTCTCTGCTGTGCAAAACACTACGTCAGCACCGCCTCCTGTTCCTGTTCTCATGTGTGTATCCTGTGGTGGACAACATGATCAATCTTCATGTCCATGGGATGCAATGGAGCAAGTTGATTATGTCAACTACAACTGGCCGCAGCAACAACAAAATCCATTTGGCGGATTTAGTTCTCAAAATAGAAATCATCCTGGTTTCTCTTGGAGCAATCCCAGTGGAGCTGCCAATCCACAAGCTTATCAGAGTTCACCACCCGGCTTTCAAAATCAACAGCAACAACAATTTAGAGGTGGCCAAGGTTTTGCTAACAATCAACAAGTTAAGCAAAACCAAAGCTTCCCCTATGTTTCCAATCAACAAAAGCCGATCCTTCCAACTCCTGAAACAACATCAGCTCCCGGCTTGGATAACATTGTTGATCAATTACTCAAATCTCAACTAGCCCAAGCCGAAACCTTGAAGAAGATTTCTGAAGAGCTTACTCAACTTCGAGCTCACAATAGGATGCTTGAAAATCAGATCTCTAGTCAAGCATCAACATCATCAACAAAGGTGACCGGGAAATTTCCAGCTTGTCCTGAGAATCCAAGAGAGCAAATGAATGCTATCACTACTCGGAGTGGGAAACAAATTCAATCTCCATCTCTTCCGAGTAGTGATCCTGAAGAAGAAAGAGGAGAGGATGTCAAAGAAGAAGCTCAAAACAAAGTCAAAGGAGATGCTGTTGAAATGATGCCAGAATCAATCCAGATCAAAGAAGGGAAGAAAAAAGAAGAAGAAGGTTTGGTAAGGAAATATGCTCCACCAATTCCTTTTCCAAACCGACTCAAGAAATCACATATTGAGGAACGAAGAACTAAGTTTTTGAACCGTATCAAGCAATTGGATATCTCTATTCCTTTGCTTGATGCTATCACTGAAATTCCTTCATATGCCAAATTTCTCAAGGAGATCTTAACAAAGAAGAAGGAAAATCCTCTCACAGTGGCCATGAGTCAAGAGTGTAGTGCCATTATCAAAAATAAGATCACACCAAAACTATGTGATCTTGGAAGCTTTTCAATTCCATGCTACATCGGAGGATCTAAAGTAAACAAAGCTCTTTGTGATCTTGGTGCAAGTGTTAGCTTGATTCCATACTCTCTGTGTCAAAAGCTACACTTGGGTGATCCAAAACCGACAACAATGGCGCTACAATTGGCTGATCGCTCTGTCAAGTACCCAATTGGCATTCTTGAAGATGTTCCTGTGAAGATCGATAAATATTATATTCCAGGAGACTTTGTTGTCTTGGATATGGAAGAAGATGCCCGAGTTCCTATCATTCTCGGAAGACCATTTCTAGCCACTGCTGGAGCAATCATAAATGTGAAGAAGGGTACACTCATCCTTGAAATCGGGGATGACAAGATTGAGTTCAATGTGCAAGAGCTGAGTAAGAATGTTGCATGCGTTCTTGATTGTTTCAACGTGGATATCATTGATTCATGTATTCTTGGAACTCTTGAGGAATCTCATTTACTCTCAAGAGATCCAATGGAGTACACCATATGTCAATCTGTTGAAGAGAAACAATCAAATGAGATGGTGAACTCATGCTTGGAGATTTTAGATCATCTCTCCGAACTAATGGAGGGATCGGAAAAATTTGAAGTCCTTAATCTTGAAGAGGAACCTATGCCCAAAAATGATGAAATACCTAAAGTAGAGCTCAAACCTCTTCCCTCTACTTTACGGTATGCTTTTCTTGGACCCGACTCTACTTATCCGGTGATCATCAACTCCTCCCTAAATGCCGAACAAGAGGAGAAGCTGCTTAAAGTCCTTAGGGAACACCGGAGGATAATTGGTTACACCATTGACGATATTGTCGGAATCAATCCTTCATATTGCATGCACCGCATCTATCTTGAAGAGGAGCATAAACCAAGCATTGAGCACCAACGACGTCTCAATCCAAACATGAAAGACGTTGTCAAGAAAGAAGTGCTAAAGTTGTTGAGAGCAGGAATCATCTATCCCATTTCAGACAGCAAATGGGTTAGCCCTATTCATGTGGTTCCGAAAAAGGGAGGAATTACCGTTGTTAAAAATGACAACAATGAACTTATTCCTACCCGAATGGTTACTGGCTGGCGCATGTGCACTGATTACCGGAAGTTAAACAAAGCCACTCGGAAGGATCATTTTCCTCTCCCGTTCATTGATCAGCTACTGGAAAGAATGACCAAACATTCTTATTTCTGTTTTCTAGATGGCTTCTCGGGATTCTTTCAAATCCCGATTCATCCTCATGATCAAGAAATGACGATATTTACATGTCCTTATGGCACATTTGCGTATCGGAGAATGCCATTTGGATTATGTAATGCACCTGCGACTTTTCAAAGGTGTATGATTGCTATTTTCTTAGAATACATCGAGGAGATCATGGAGGTATTCATGGATGATTTCTCTGTCTATGGGAATTCATTTGAAGATTGTCTAATGAATTTAGACAAAGTGCTGAGCAGATGTGAAGAAGCCAATCTCGTACTAAATTGGGAGAAATGCCACTTCATGGCAACAGAAGGAATTGTACTTGGCCACAAAATCTCTGAAAGTGGTATTGAAGTTGATCCAGCGAAGATTGAAGTCATCGAAAAGTTGCCACCACCGAATTCTGTAAAAGGAATTCGGAGTTTTCTCGGTCATGCCGGATTCTACCGCCGTTTCATCAAAGACTTCTCTAAAATCTCAAAACCCTTGACAAATCTACTGTCCAAGGATGTAGATTTTAATTTTGATGCTGATTGTCAAGAAGCTTTTTCTAAGCTCAAGATGGCCTTAACAACTGCTCCAATTATAAGGCCACCCGACTGGAACTTACCATTTGAAATCATGTGTGATGCCAGTGATTATGCAGTCGGAGCTGTTCTAGGCCAACGCAAGGGGAGAGAAGTCTATGCCATTTACTACGCAAGTCATACTCTTGATGATGCACAACTCAATTATGCAACAACTGAAAAAGAGTTTCTTGCGGTAGTCTTTGCCATTGAGAAGTTCCGATCATATCTCATCGGAAGCAAAATTATTGTGTACACTGATCATGCTGTTATCAAATACCTCATGGCAAAGAAAGACTCCAAACCAAGGCTCCTAAGATGGATTCTTTTACTACAAGAATTTGATATGGAGATCAAAGACCGAAAGGGGTCGCAAAATGTGGTTGCTGACCACCTATCAAGGTTGGAAATTCCTGAAGCAAAAACTATGTCGATCAATGATTACTTTATCGGAGAGCAACTTATGCTGGCTAAACGCATTGATCCATGGTTTGCTGACATAGCAAATTATCTTTCAAATTGAATAATTCCAACCGGAGCAACTCATGCAGAAAAGAAGAAGTTGCAATATGACTCTCGAACTTACATCTGGGAGGAACCATTCCTCTACAAAATTTGTGCTGATGGAGTCATACGAAGATGTTTGCCCGAGGATGAAATTACAAATGTCTTACATCATTGCCATTCTTCCGCCTACGGAGGACACCATGGTAGCTCCCGCACAGCAGCAAAGGTGTTACAATCTGGTTTCTTTTGGCCTACTCTTTTCAAGGATGCCAACACCTTTGTTAAAAGCTGCGACCGTTGTCAACGCACTGGAAATATCGGGAGGAGAAATGAAATGCCTCAAAGGGGCATTCTTGAAGTTGAAGTATTTGATGTATGGGGCCTTGATTTCATGGGCCCATTTCCGAAGTCAAATGGAAAGGAATTCATCCTCGTGGCTGTGGATTATGTATCAAAATGGGTTGAAGCAATTGCCACGTCCACAAATGNAGCGGTGATCAAATTTATTCGAGGGAACATTTTCTCTCGATTTGGAGTCCCAAGAGCAATCATCACCGACAATGGCACCCATTTTTGCAATAAAGCATTGGGACGAGTTCTTGCAAAGTACGGGGTTCATCACCGACTCTCGACCCCGTACCACCCACAAACAAATGGTCAAGTCGAGCTTTCAAACAGAGAAATCAAAAGCATCCTTGAGAAGGTTGTTAATCCTTCAAGAAAGGATTGGTCTGACAAGCTTGACGATTCTTTATGGGCATACCGCACCGCATTCAAAAATCCCATTGGCACCTCCCCATATCATCTTGTGTATGGGAAGGCATGTCATCTTCCTGTTGAGCTAGAACACAAAGCATTTTGGGCTGTTAAAAATCTCAACATGGATCTCTCATTGGCGGGTGAAAAGAGAATGTTGCAGTTGAATGAGCTTGAGGAGTTCAGACTCGCAGCTTATGAAAATTCATAAATCTACAAGGAGCGAACCAAACAACTGCATGACAAGGTAATCTCTAAACGAGATTTTGCACCAGGAGACCAGGTACTTCTTTATAACTCTCGCTTTAAATTGTTCCCTGGCAAGCTGAGGACCCGGTGGTCCGGAACATTCGAGGTAGTGGAAGCATTTCCCTCCGGAGCTGTGCAACTTTGTGGCAAAGATAACGCCAAATTCATTGTAAATGGGCAACGTTTGAAGCGTTATCTTGCTAACGATCACCAAGAGGGAATGCTACTCTATTTCCTCGAAATGCCTGAATATAAGTGATTGCATTGGTCAAGCTAATGACCATAAATAAGCGCTTCTTGGGAGGCAACCCAAGTTTTAAAATTCTGCATTTTTTTGTTTTAATAAGGTAATTGAGTTTCAATAAGGCGTTTTCCAATTCACGCCATGTACAAAAAAAATCAATTTACCAATTTTTCAGGAATTTTTTACTTAATTCTCCTTCATTTATTTTACACTGAGGACAGTGTAAATTTTAAGTGTGGGGGAGTGGGTAGATAAAACTTGATTTTTTGTGTGTATTTTCAAATAAAAAAAAGAAAAAAAAATTTATTTTCATTTTTGTTTTGTTTTTGTGTGTTTGTGTTGGATAATGAACAGTCTTGATCCAAAAAGTAAAATTGAACTTACAAATTTTTTGTTTATATGTCTTGTTAATATCTATATACATAACTTTGTAAATTATAAAATCATCTCTTTTGACGGAATGTGGTATGAGTTTGAGAATTGTTTCATTATAACATCTTGAGAGTAACTGTGTCTGAGCCTTGAGTTAATTTCTGTTAATAATTTAACATAGAATACCATAGAGTTTTTCCAATTTATTGGTTTACTAGCTAAATTTAGTTATAACTTTTATAGACCATGATGTTTCACATTTGTTCTCCATGAAATGATGTTTTAATTTGACACATTTAGACATGATATAGGCCATCTTTGTTTAACCTCTCAAACCAAGCTTACCCAATTCAAAAAAAAAAATCCCTAGTTGTCCCCTTTTGAGCCTTTTTCTGTAAATAAGTATTACCACTTATCTCTTATTTGTCATTTTTTCTTGTTACCCTGTAAATATTTAACCCTAAACCATTTTGCCAATATAAATTATCCTTCCACCCTAGAGTAGATTGTCTTATTATTTGAGAAGGAACTTAAAAAAAATTTAATAATTGGAGCGCTGTGTATTTTTGTAAATAATTGAGTATGTTGTTTTTTTTGTATCAAAGTTGTACATTCTTTGTCTTTGTAAAGATAATAATAACTTAGTGTGCCTTCAAAAAAAGAATAAAAAAAAGTAAAAAAAATTAAAAAAAAAAGCAAAAAAAATAAATAAATAAATAAATAAAAATAAAAAAAAGTTGAAAAAAAAGGAAAAAAAGAAAAAAAGCACACCAATCTTAAACTTTTTAGATTTTTAGACTTTATTCTTCTTGGGCATAAAAAGTAATTAAATAAAAAAATGCCCGTACCATTTACTGTATTCTTTGCAAAATAATTGTCATTTTTTTCATTTTTGAGTCATTTGTTTACCGTGCTCCATAGTTACATTTGTAATAATTTTTGAGTTCCTGATCAAAATAAGTATAATCTATCTCTTTTTGTTTATCCTTTATACCTTTTCTTTGTTTACCCACCTACCCTTAGCCCCGTTACAAGCCGAATAAAAGTCCTAATTGATCTTTTTGTGTCACTTTTAAAATAATTGGATTGGAGAAACTTGGTTTATATTAGTTTAATTAGTTTAGCACTATAGGTGTTTGTGTTAGATTATTAACATGAAAGTTTCTAGGATAGGCAATATTACTCAAGTTACTCTCATTTTATTATTTTGTGACAATTCATGGGTTTTGGATAGTTTTGTGGACAAAAGAGATGATTGTGTGATTTGAAAAAATTATGTATGTAAATTCTAACAACACATGTAAAGATTGTATTTGTAGTTTATTTTGCTTGAGGACAAGCAAAAGCCTAAGTGTAGGGGAGTTGATATGCACATATTTTATACACTTTTTAGGCATATTTTGAAGGAGTTTTAATTCCCAATTGAATTAATGTTTACATTTTATGTTAATTTTCCGTTTTATTTAGGGAGGGCAGTCCTATGCTTGGTTTTATATGTTTTGCAGATATTTTGAGACCGTTTGAACGCATTGAGAACAATTTCAAGAACGAAAAATAAACATGGAAGTTTGGGACCAAAGTAAATTGAAGAGATGTGAAGGAAAGAAGTAAATGAACAAAAATGAAGCATAAAGACGGCCCTTAGATTCGAACCGTGGACTTCAAACATTGGAACTAGAGCTTTGACCATCGCACCACAGCTGATTACTCGTTAAATCACAGGCAGACAACAATTATGTTCTTGCTTTGAATCGGCCATTGATTGAGAGAGAAAAAAATGACAAAACACCAACACTGGAGGGGGAATCAAACACGGGATCACGCGGCACGTCAAGCAGCTTCATTTCCATGCGCTACTGTGCTTGTACTAACTTTAAGTGAGACTGTTTGTAAATACTCCGTATATACGAATTCATCTATAAAAACTCAACCCTTCTCTTCTTCAAGGAGGTTGGAACCCCCCACTTCTCTACTCTCTCCATTTCCGAAATTCTCCTCCTTCATCACTAATATCTAACCACTTTCTTTTTCCAAACACATAAAAATTACTCCATCTTCATCATCATCAACACCATCTATTTTAGTTGGAGCTCAAGAACACATCTTTCATTTTGTAAGATTTTTATTATTGTAATAAATATTTATTTGTTTAAGCTTCAAACTATGAACTTCTAAATTCCATTGGGGTTAGAAGTTGGTGTAATTAATTGTCCATCTTAATGTTTTAAATATTTTTAACATGGATTGTTAATTTTATTTTTATTTAGATGTTGTATTTAAAAATAAATAAATTTGAAATGTTTGTGATTTTTAATTAAGGGCCCAATCATAAACATAATTGTTAAAAAGGAATTTGAGCTAAAATTGAAATAATCATAAAATAGAACATTTTTTCAATTACACCGTAAGCCTTCTCTTCCTTTAACCGGGATTGAAGACTTTCGGGTGGACATAGTTATTGAGTTGTATTTTTACACCATTAAATTGGGTAAACATACAATAAAATATTTATGGTTGCCGTTGTTACTAAATAATCACTCCGGATTTATCATTAGCGTGTTAAAGTCGGAGTGGTTATTATGTAGGTGAACTGCGAGAGCGTCCCTAAATAATTTTCTACAACCCCACACATTCTATATAAAAATAAATTAACAATCCAACATTTATAAAAACATTGGACAATTAATTTACCAATTTCTACCCCTAACTTTTTATCATCAAATAACTTTGTGTTGTTTGGAACTCTCTTCTTTTACACTTTTTATTTTATCTTTAAAACCAAAAAGACCAAAATATTTTACAACTTCTTTTGTAAACTTTTGTTTAAATTAAATTAACTCACGTCTCCCTGAGGTTCGACACCCTACTTACAAAGGATTCTTTTTAGTTGTTATTTTTGCCCATTCTATACTGCAAATCACTCCCGCTGGGAATCGAACTCATGACCTTGGATCTGATACCGATTGTGAGAATAATAGGCCAACGCTAGAGGGGGTGTGAATAGCGTTTGATCAAGAAATCGCAGGAATAAAAAAAATGAATAAACGAGAAGTAAAGAGGCACACCGATTTTACCCTGGTTCACCACAACTTGTGGCTAATCCAGCCTCCCGAGAGACTCTCTCGAGCTACACTACTAACTCGTTAAGCTTAACGGTGCTTAACAAACCCGTACAACTTGAGAATTCGAGTCACACGAACCTCAACGAACCTTCGAAGGAAACAGCCCTTCCTTCGAACAACAAGAGAAATACCTTCTCTTGTCAAGTGTCTAAGAACACTAAAAACACTCAAGAACAATACTCTCTTTTAGAGTGGATAATGAGTAAACTGAGAACGCTCAAGAACACAACACAAGCTTCACAAAAATGGCTCTCAAAAGCTATGAAAAATTGAAGAATGATTTGCAATGAAAGAGTAGGAGTTGTGAAGTAATGTGATGATGTAAAACAGACCCAAACACCCCTTTTTATAGTAGAAAAATAGGCTCCAACGGACTAAAGTATTTAAGGGGTGATTTACACAAAAAGTGGGATTTGATTAAATTTGGATCTGCTAAATTCACCGAGACAGCGCTGTCCTAGACTAAGACATCGCTGTTCTAGGCTTACGATTTGAAAAATGGGAAGCAACGGTCATGCCAACAGCGATGTCCAAAACCCCTACATCGCTGTTTTGGCTGTTGACTTCCAAACAAGGAAAGTTTTAGTCTTAAATTCCTTCCAACGGTCAGGTATCTACATCGATGTTCCATACTAGAACATCGCTGTTTAGGTCTGCCTTTGAAGATGGAAGTTTTGGCCTGACAGCGCTGTCCAAAAACTTTCTACCAATGCACTATATTTTTGGCTTAAGTTGGACATCGCTGTAGGGAAGCCTACATCGCTGTTCCAGAAGTTTCTGGAAATCCAACCTTGGCTCAACAGCGATGTCTAATGTCCAACATCGCTGTTGGAAGACTTAACGCCAAACCATGTTTTTAGCTACCCAAGCCAGACAGCGCTGTTGGTTACCTCAACATCGCTGTTGGGCTGGTTTAGCCAGACCCATGGTTGGTTTAGTCACGCCGTTAGCCGATGTCAAAAACGCAAGTTCTCCAAAATAAAAGCCAAGTTTAGAAAACATCTGTTTATTGCATTTTGCTAAGAAATCAAGTAAAACATTTTAAAAACCACGTCCTTCAGTTGAAAACCACTTGGTTGGTTCGGACGCCAAAAACCAATGCCGAAAACTGAGAGCCGAACGCCGGTTTCTGAAAACCGAACGCCGGATGGCTTGGTTTTTGGTTTGGGCGAGCACCAAGTGTTTTTAGCCAAGTTTAAGCTTACGAAAAATATTTTTGAACATGCAAAAATAGATTTTTATGAATAGAGCCTAGAGAGCCAAGATTTGGAATTTTGTGTTGGTCTTGATCACATTAAGACCGACTCAATGCAATTCTAATTCTTCGTTCTTGATTCTGAGTTCTTGATTCTCAAAGCATCATGACATGTTCCTTCGCCTTAGTTTTGCTCACTTTAGCTTTGATGTGTCGCGGCGGTTTGGCATTATCAAAACCTGTCATAAAAACGAACACAGTTTAGTACGACGTAGGCGTAAACCCGTGTTCCAACATATATGAATTGAGAAAGAGTTGTAGAATGAATTTAAATCAGATGCAATACTTAAAGAAAGATCGGATCGGATCGGAGGAGGCAAAGATTTGTGCCTACACAAATGGAGATAGAACTATGTGGGATATAATGCTCGTGGTCAATAAAGATAACTAGGTCAAACAAATTGGAGGCAAAACAATTGTTTTTTGTGGTGATTTTAGACAAATACTACCTGGTAATTTTCAAAAGTACTAGGCAAGATATTGTTTTAGACACTATTAATTCTTCATACTTGTGGTCTGATTGCAAGGTCTTAAAACTTACTAAGAACGTGATTGTTTCAAAAAGAAAGGACAATGAAAGTGCAGAAATCCAACTTTTTACCAATTGGATACCAGATATTGGAGATGGAAAGGTTGGTGGTCCAAATGATGGTTGTGCATAAATTAAAATTCCATCAGATTTACTGATTGAACCAGGGAATCATCCTATAAGAAAAATGGTAGAAACTATTTACCCTTCATTTGTAACAAATTTTGGAGAAGATAGTTTACTCCAAGAAAGAGCAATTTTAGCTCTAACACTTGAAGTAGTTGAATCAATAAATCAATACATGATTACAATGAATGAAAAAGATGTGAAGGTCTAATTGAGTGCTGATAGTGCTTGCCATTCTGATATGATCAGTGCTTCTTTAGTTGGGGGTTTACAGACTATAGAATATTTAAAGTTGATCAGATCTTCAAGAATTCCAAACCACGAACTAACACTGAAAGTTGGGACTCTAATAATGCTTTTGCGCAAAATTGATCATGCTAATGGTTTGTACAATGGAACGCGTTTAATTGTTACAAGGCTGGGTAACCTTCTATTGAAAGCAAAGACGATTCATGGAAAAAATGCCAGCCAAACAGGTTTAATACCGTGAGTTTCATTGAATCCTTCAGATACCATGTTGCCATTTAAGTTTCAAAGAACACAATTTCCATTTATGGTATTGTACGCGATGACCATAAACAAGAGTCAGGGACAGTTTCTCTCTCATGTTGGTTTTTTCTAGACAAAACCTGTTTTTAGTCACGAACAGCTGTATGTGGCCATGTCTAGGGTGCGGTGTCGAGAGAGATTAAAAATAATGATGTGTTATTCTGACAGTACTCCATATAAGACTACAATTAATGTAGTTTATAAAAAGGTTTTTAAGAATGTATGATTGATGTTTAACATACATTGTTTACTTTACTTCATTTGAATAGTAGGTACTGAATATAGTTTACTTTATAATACATTCTTTATGTTAGTAGTTCTATTTAGAATTAAATAAATAATATGATACATCACTCATAAAATGCTTTATTTCTCTGTGCATCCCATGGGTGATGCACTAGTTAAACTAACTAATCTAATTCCAAACTAACTAAATACATGAATTTGGATGACAATTAACATTACGAAAGTAATTTAGATCATATAAAAAAACAAATGATTGACTACCCTATTTCGGATCGATGCACAAATGCGAAATGGGATGGTTTCCCCGGTGCAATGGCCATTACTATCCAATAGAGCAAGTTCAAACTCGACAACCTTTTTATCCTCTAGGTAAATGGGCTTCTTTCTGAAGGTGCATGTCTTTTGCCCTGCTCCCTGACCTCCCTCTTGGTTTTGCATGTAGGACCTTAGGCTCTACCAACTCTTCTAAAACCAATTGGTGTTAGAAGAGGCGCATACCCTAGCCTTATAGTGCATTCAACACACTAGCGCCCATGACATTTGATTGTGACTTGGCCCACATAGCCTCCGCCATGGGACAATTGATGCACACATGGCCAACAATCTCCCCCTCAGCAATTGCTCCCGCTGGGAATCGAACTCGTGACCTTGGCTCTGATACCACTTGTAGGACCTCAGGCGCTACCAACTCTTCTAAAACCAGTTGGTGTTAGAAGAGGTGCATACCCTAGCCTTATAATGTATTCAACACACAAGCGACCATGACATTCGAATGTGATTTGGCCCACATAGCCTCCGCCACGAGACAATTGATGCACACATGGGCAATATTGCATCTATGATCTTAACTTCAACCAACCTCAAGGATAAGTAAATATTCACAACAGCAACAAAAAACCCCAATAATATATCATAATAAATAATTTGTTTTTTGTTAATCTTGAAATGAAAACAAAGCACAGAATAGAAGGTTGCTTAGCCCTAAATTTGCCATCTTGAAGCAAAACACAAAGGTGGAAAAGGATATATATGAATTGAGAAAGAGTTGTAAATGAATTTAAATTGGATGCAATACTTAAAGCAAGATCGGATCGGATCAGAGGAGGCAAAGATTTGTGCCTTCACGAATGGAGATAGAACTATGTGGGATATAATGCTCGTGGTCAATAAAGATAGCTAGGTCAAACCAATTGGAGGCAAAACAATTGTTTTTTGTGGTGATTTTAGACAAATACTACCGGTAATTTTCAAAGGTACTAGGCAAGATATTGTTTTAGACACTATTAATTCTTCATACTTGTGGTCTGATTGCAAGGTCCTGAAACTTACTAAGAACGTGAGCGTTTCAAATGGAAAGGACAATGAAAGCGCAGAAATCCAACTTTTTACCAATTGTATACCAGATATTGGAGATGGAAAGGCTGGTGGTCCAAATGATGGTTGTGCAGAAATTAAAATTCCATCAGATTTACTGATTGAACCAGGGAATAATCCTATAAGAAAAATGGTGGAAACTATTTACCCTGCATTTGTAACAAATTTTGGAGAAGATAGTCTACTACAAGAAAGAGCATTTTGAGCTCTAACACTTGAAGTAGTTGAATCAATAAATCAATACATGATTACAATGAATGAAAAAGATGTGAAGGTCTACTTGAGTGCTGATAGGGCATGCTAGTCTGATATGATCAGTGCTTCTTTAGTTGGGGATATACACACTACAGAATATTTAAAGTTGATCAGATCTTCAGGAATTCCAAACCACGAACTAACACTGAAAGTTGGGACTCTGATAATGCTTTTGCGCAACATTGATCATGCTAATGGTCTGTACAACGGAACGTGCTTAATTGTTACAAGGCTGGGTAACCTTCTATTGAAAGCAAAGACGATTCATGGAAAAAATGCAGGCCAAACATGTTTAATACCGTGAGTTTCATTGAATCCGTCAGATACCATGTTGCCATTTAAGTTTCAAAGAACACAATTTCCGGTTATGGTATCGTACGCGATGACCATAAACAAGAGTCAGGGACAGTCTCTCTCATGTTGGTTTATTCTAGACAAAACCTGTTTTTAGTCACGAACAGCTGTATGTGGGCATGTCTAGGGTTCGGTGCCGAGAGAGATTAAAAATAATGATGTGTTATTCTGACGGTACTTCATATAATAATACAGTTAATGTAGTTTATAAAAAGGTTTTTAAGAATGTATGATTGATGTTTAACATACATTGCTTACTTTACTTCATTTGAACAGTAGGTACTGAATATAGTCTACTTTATAACACATTCTTTATGTTAGTAGTTCTATTTAGAATTAAATAAATAATATGATACATCACTCATAAAATGCTTTATATCTCTGTGCATCACACGGGTGATGCACTAGATAAACTAACTAATCCAATTCCAAACTAACTGTATACATGAATTTGGATGACAATTAACATTACGAAAGTAATTCAAATCATATAAAAAACAAACGATTGAAAACCCTATTTCGGATGGATGCACAAATGCGAACCGGAATGGTTTCCCTAGTGCAATGGCCATTACTATCCAATAGATCAAGTTCAAACTCGACAGCCTTCTTATCCTCTGGGTAAATGGGCTTCTTGCTCAAGGTGCATGTCTTTTGCCCTACTCCGTGACCTCCCTCTTAGTTTTGCATCTATGATCTTAACTTCAACGAACCTCAAGGATAAGTAAATATTCACAACAACAACAACAACAAAAAACCCCAATATTAAGTCATAATAAATCATGGGTTTTTTGTTAATCTTGAAATGAAAACAAAGCACTCAGATTTCGATCTGAAATCAAAAGATTCAATCATAAGAATAGACGGTTGAGTAGTCCTAAATCTGCCATCTTCAAGCAAAATACAAAGGTGGAAACGAATATATATGAATTTAGAAAGAGTTGTAGAATGAATTTGAATCGGATGCAATACTTAAAGAAAGATCGGATCGGATTGAAGGAGGCAAAGATTTGTGCCTACACGAATGCAACAGCGGCTTTGTGAAAACCCTGTCAGCAGCTACGAATTACAAACCAAACCACCATTCAAAGTAGGTAATCATTAATCAATCATTAATTCCTAATTTATCTAAATAGTACTAAAATATAATGATATTCTTAATATAAGATTATGTGTTTTTATTTTCTAATCTAGGATCATTGGTCATTATCTATTAGTCACAATTCAACTAAATATCCATCATTTTTTGGATATTATTCTTCACACTAATCATTATTAAGTCCTATTTAAAAAATAAAAAAGTTAAGTCTTACATTGGAAAATGACTTATGTTTTAGTTCTATTCAGTGCAAACTTTACATCATTAATTTCAAACTATATCAACTTTTAATTTACTTAGTTACCCTCGCATATGCATTCGGTATTTATCATTGATTTTAATAAATTCAGGTAAAGATAATTGATTAAGTTACAGAGTATTAAAAAAAAGTCTATTTAATGAAGTCCTGTAATGCCACGAAATATGGCCTAAAATTTATTAAAAAAACAAAAGTAATTTTTGTTCAATAAGAAATATTTATATGTTTGACTAAAAATAAATGGATTTTCAAAAATAATGACTTTTTGTTAAAAAGTTATTTTTTATGGATATGTCTCGAAGAGACGAATCCAACGGTACATTTTATGAACCAATCTGATTTATAGATTTCAAGTTATGTCAATTTTAAATATTAAAAATTTGTAACTTTGACCCATAAAATAAACTCAATCCAAAGGTGATTTTATAAGATTAGAAATCATAATTTTGACCATTGACAACATCATATTAATCATTTGGATTTAATCCATATATTTTTATCTCATTCATATTATTAAATTTATTTATGACTGAGACAGACCTGAACACGGAGAAAAATATAAAAGTTCTCAGAAAAATATTTCGTTTACATCAAAATTCTAATTTTGACAGTCTGATTCCAAAAACGCAATCCGTTTCCAATTCGGAGCAATTTGGGCGAAAAAGAGCGTACCGTTTAGAGTGAACTGTTCAGTTTTGGCAAGAAGCCAAAACTTTATTTCCCAAATCTCTCCCAACATCACGTAGCTTCCTTTTGCTACTCACAAACCCATTTCTCAATATCCACAATCTCATTATAATCCTCCACTAACTCCACTAATATAATACTCCAAACTAATTATATAATACTCCCAAAACCACTCCATATCATTACCATCATGTTCCACTATCATCATCCACCATTTCCTCTCCCATTTTCTCTCTCTGTCGGCAGCCCAAAGAATGAGAAGAAAACATCAATCCTCCATGGTTGTATGCTAAAGAAGAAGAAGAAGAAGCAAGAAAACCATCCATAGTTTCCAAATCATGAGTTCCAAACGCAGCATCAACTTCTACGTAAGTTCTGTAATTTTCCATCCATTATCTCGGAATACTTCTTGAACCAAAGTTGTAGCCCCGGACGTTACGAATCCAACCCAACAAACGGCTCGTGATTTTGTTAAGTAACGAAGAAGATATGTCCAAAATACCGGGACTGTGCCAATGGTGGCGAGCTCCTCGGGTTGGCATGTTGTTCTTCACCAAATTCATATTATCTCATCCCAAATACTTACCATAAACTCTCTAACAATTATTAGGAACATCCGGAAGGTATCGTAGAGAAAGTTCGGCATTGGGACGTTGAAGTTAGTGAGTTAATCGTCGGAATCATGTTCATCGACATACCCGAAATTCTGGACAGCAACTATCCCTTGACTTCAGGTCTGATTTACGCTATCTTACATATGTTAAAACGAAATACTCTATATACGAAAGTTGTAGCCTTACGTTTTAGGAATCCACAGAATCAAACGATTTGCGATTCCGTGAAGAAACGATGGAGATATGCCCAAAATACAGAAGGCTGTCCGATTGTCACGGAAATGACAAAGTTGGCAAATTTCGATGTTGTTTCCACTCCCGCTCATCCGTAAGGTTTCGGCCGATAATTTCCAGGTCTGTACCTTTGCGTTAGACTTGTCGAATCATTCATCACATGCGTACATGAACATATATGTTAATCCATATGTTGAAATCATCCCAAAAAAAATAAATATGTGATACATATAAATATTAGATATGCTTCAACTACATAGATTTGTTAATCATAAGTGTTAAAATAACTCAAAGAAGTATTTTAAATATCCAAAAATATCAAAAATAGGATTTGCACACCCGAACGGTCGACGTAAACGGTCAACTGTCGTATTAAACATCGAAACGAAGCAAGACTGTCAGACAAACGGTCGACCGCCGGTGGCCAACGGTCAACCGCCGCCTGCCCAGTCAAGACCGCCGTTTTTCCTCCAGTCAACAACAGTCGACCGCCGGTCAACCGCAGTCGACCGTCACGGTGATTCTCCAAACTCGACGCGATGAATTTCGCGGTCGACCGTCGCGCCAAACGGTCAACCGTTCCGAGCCCCGTAGCTTAATTAAATGATATTTTTATCAGATTACATCCAAATAAAATAAAGTGTATTTATCCAATCATGTTGTTTACAAATTGTTCATATCATGTGATTCATTTCATCATTCATATTGAAACATATCACATCATGTGCATGCGCAAGAGATCAGGCTGAAGTGCGTCTCTTGTAGTTGTGATTGTGCGGGACTTAGCAGTCCGACATCACGGACCGGGCTTAGTGTACGTACATGGTACTTAGATTTTCGAGTACCACCCATATTTCTGCGTGAGTTCGTCGTACAAAATGGGCGAATCTCATAGTTCAAGGCTCGTTCTTGCGACTTAGAATCATACAGCATGAAGTCATCATCAAGTAAAATCATCATGACTATGTGTGACATCAATTACGCATCATGTTATCATTATCAAGTACATCGATTACATAGGCCTTATGTAATCATCATCAAGAACAAGTATATTGATTACATAAGTATCATGTAATCATCCTCACAAGCAAATTGATTAAATGTGCCATCATGTAATTATCATTAAATATTTATCACCATGATTCATCAAATTGTCCATATGATATAATGTGTCATATTATGAATATTATTATTATACTTTTTGTGGACATATATATGTAAATGTATATGTCTATGAATTATTCTACAATTCTAGCGTGGTACCACTAAGCGGTTTCGCTGAGCGTGTAGTTTGTATTTTTCGTTGACTACACGTAGGTAACAAGAAGACAATGATGGAACCTTTCCCGGAGGGCATTGAGGCAGAGGAGATGCAAGGATGACAGGAAAATGTTTGATCAACAGATTTTAAAATATGTCATGATTTGATTATTATTGTACTTCCGCATTACTCTAAAAATATTTTTTAAATGGGTCGCGATCCAGAGTCTGTAAATTTAATATTTACAAGTAATTGTCATTTTCAAATGTCAAGCGAAATTTTTATTTAACTCTCGTTTCACCTTAATTCGTATAATTCCAGGTTATACGGATTGTGGTGTTACAAGTCCTCAAATTTTTTGCACATTCCCACCTTGATTTTGGTATTTCATTTTTGAAATATTTGTGTGCATAGACAAAAGAGTTACAGAGTAATAATCATTTTGGTCCCTTTAAGTTTACCCATGACTCAATTTAGTTCATGTAAGTTTATTTGAATCAAACTAATCCTTATATATATAAAAAATGTGAATCTGGATAGTCTTTCGAATGCAATTTATCCCCTAAAATTTAGAATCATCATGTTAATTAACGCAAAAACAATGAACTCATGTACTAGTTTTTGTATAAATTAACATATTAATTTATAGTTTTAGAATATATCTATTTTGTATAAAGGACTAATTTGATTCACATTTTCTAGTTACATGGATTAATTTGACTAAAAAATTAATAGGGACTAAATTGATTAGTGAGTACACTTCCAAGGACAGCTCCGTTCCGTTCAACTTATTTTTTCTGATCTTATCTGATTCTAATAAGTTCTGATCTGATCTGGTTTGATCTGATCTGATCTGATCTGATTGGATCTGATCTGATCTGATCTGATTGGATCTGATCTGATCTGATTGGATCTGATCTGATTTGATCTGATTGAATCTGATCTGATTGGATCTGATCTGATCTGATTAATTATGATTTAATTTAAAATTTCAAATCAATAATTTAATTTGACTTTATAATAACGTTTGAAAATTGTAATGATAATTCATATTATAATATAATCAATATTTTTTATTTAATGATTATTTTTTAATAAAATAAAAATAGTTAATTCATATATTAGAATAATCATTCATATTATAATGTAATAATATNTGATCTGATTAATTATGATTTAATTTAAAATTTCAAATCAATAATTTAATTTGACTTTATAATAACGTTTGAAAATTGTAATGATAATTCATATTATAATATAATCAATATTTTTTATTTAATGATTATTTTTTAATAAAATAAAAATAGTTAATTCATATATTAGAATAATCATTCATATTATAATGTAATAATATTTTTTATTTTATGATTATTTTTTTGTAAAATTAGAATTATACAATAGAATAAATATTTAATTTAGATATACATTAAAAATTAATTAAATTTAGATAATCAATATATAGAAGAGATAGTATTTTTATTAAAATATCTCATCCTTATAAAAGATCAAAAGTTTAGAAACTCAAATTTCAAGTAGCAATAAAAATATATTTTAAATGTAGAATTAGATTGACATTATCAATGTATTGTCAATCTATTTAACCTATTTCTAAAGCATATTCTTTTTCATTTTTAAGAACAATAATAATAATAATAATAATGAAGATGATGATGATGATGATGATGATGATGATAATAATAATAATACGAGTAATAATAATAATAATAATAATAATAATAATAATAATAATAATAATAATAATAATAATAATAATAATAATAATAATTCTTGATGGGATCTGATTTTAATAAGTCCTGATTGGATCTGATCTGATCTGATTGGATCTGATCTGATCTGATTGAATCTGATCTGATCTGATTGGATCTGATCTGATCTGATCTGATTCAATCTGATCTGATCTGATTCGATCTGATCTGATCTGGTCTGATCTGATCTGATCTGATTTTAATAAGAATAAGAAAAAATAAGAAAAAATAAGTTGAACGGAACGGGGCCTAAAACGAGTATTAGCGCTAGACAAAATTAACAATGAATTTATTCAATTTTATTGTTTTGAATCAAATTAGATTAATTTTATTTTTTAATTATCTTTTCATTTGTATTTTTAACAAGAAGAATCTAATAAAATTTTTATTGAAAGCACTAATATACATTACAGTATTACACAACCAGATGTCGTGACGACGTCATATCTGAGTAGATAGACCAAACACATATAGCCAACGCCGAACCAGAAACGACAGTACTCTGCACTGATGGCTGGCCTGAATTGCTACCTTTCGGCCACCGCCACAGCCACATCCATATCTCAACGCTCATCTTCATCCGACCAACCGCCGGAGAAAAAGCCGCCCAAATTGAAACTGCCGAGGAATAACCCGGAGAAACTGTCCGCCGGGTTGTCGCCGGCGGAGTACGGCGCCGCAACACCCACCACCAATCCCCGAAATTACTGGCTCCTCGATGATGACCCTCTCACCTCTGATGATTATATATGGAACAGAAATTTCGCGGGCCGCATGAAGATGTTGATCCAAGATCCTGCTGAATATGGATCCGGTTTTCCTTCCAACCCTTCAAAGGTCTGAACTTTTTTATTTGTTTGAAAATAATTATATGGGAAATTCGTTATATTGGATTTTGTGTTGGTTCATTTGTGTATATGGGCTGTTCTTGAATTGTTTACTCCCAGAAGTTTTATTACAGAGTATTATGTAGAATTGTTTACTCATAGTGCATATGATTACAGAGTGTTTGATGTGGATTGTATCCTCAACATATTGAAACAAGGAAAATGATGGGAAATTAAATAGAGTTGAAATTTTGAAGAAGATACATGTGGGGCTAATGGTAAAGAAAAAATGAGTTGAAACTCAATAAATAAATTTTAGATATTCGTTTAAACACATTTTATTTATATATATTTAAGATTGACAATAAAAATAACAAAAACCCAGTATAATCCCAACTCCATTGGAGTCGAGATGTACCCCGCCTTACCCTTGTAAAAATATTGGCTGTTTCGGCTAGACCTTTGATGCATTGTTGCATTTATTGCTTAAAACTTCATTGAAAGTAACAAGCAAAGTAAGTCTCTTTAGCTCCATTGGCAATGGACATAAAGTTTTAAAAAGGTTAAAGACCAAGAAATCTAAATAAAATCGGGTTTTCCTTTGCATTTTCTAAGAGAGAACAAATCATTAAAAAAATCCTAAGCTTTTTTTCCTTCCCTACCATTTTCATATTTCCAAACACACGCTGAAGGTTAAATAATAAGAATGATTTGATATTGTATCATTATGGTGTGGAGAAACTCTTTCCATTACAAATTATAATGCTATGTATGGTAACAAGATGCCTATTTTTCTCAATTGTTCATTGCCCATAGAACTTATACATGTGTTGATATGCTCATTCTTGGTTGGGTTTCACACAGGAAGAGACAACGCATGGATTTCTAAGCATAAACCGCGTATTGAACCTTGACAAGTAGGCATCCTTTTGCTGTTTTTATTTTGTGTGTCATTGTAAATGATTTGTTCTTGTGATGATATTATTGAACTTTGGGTTTTTTAAAGCTTGGAAGTGGACTTGAGCAAGGAACTGGCGTCGCCTTCAAAACCTTTCCGAGCAGAAAAAGCTGAGGAAATTGAAGTGTGATATCACCTTTCTTTGGAGCTATTTACTTCATCCTTCAGTATCAACTTTCAATGTTCGTATTGAGTTTGGTTGTCAATTGTGATTGAGTCTAGTATATAAGCAGGAGATAAACCTAATTTCTTAAGACTTTGTTTGGTTAAAAGAATTCAGGAAGGAAAAGAAAAGAAAAAAAGGTAAAAGAAGTGGCAATTTTGGTGTTTGGTTAGAAAGAAAAAGATGAAAATTGGAAGAAAGAGAAAAGGTAATGGAAATGTTATGTTAAATTCAAAGGAAAATAAAAGGTAATGGAAACATGATGTAAAATTACAAATGCGATTTCCTTCATTTTTTGTGAGGACAAGGACAGAAAATAACAAACTTTTTCCTTCCCTTCCACCTTCTCGCCCACCTCACCCTCCCCCTATCAATCAAAAAAAAATTTGGTGAAAAAAAAAATCTCACCGATTTTGTTAGCGACCAGAAGTTTTTTTCTCTGACTTTCTTTTCATTTCTTTAGCATTTTAATTCCCTTCGCAATTCCCACACCCAAACATAGAGTAAGGATTCTTTTGATGCGACGTATGTTCAATTTAAGGGTCTTTGTGGGTCAATCGCTTGTTAGATGGTGGCCCATTCTTTAAACCCATTGGTGTGTTGAGTATACCACATTTAATGTCTGCATTTGAGTCTAAAACTAGTAAGAGTATATAATTAGTGTGAGATAACCCTTTTATCTTGAGTATCCTTTTGTGGTGAATTTGGCCTAATATAACAGTTCCAAGTGAAATGATTTGCAGACCGACAAGAACACGTATCAAACATGGAGACAAAAACCATCACCACGTGAGCAAGAGAAGTGGAACAGTGCTACTAGGGCAGCAACCAGTGGCGGTGTATGCCATCTTTTGTTGTTATGAACTTTTCATGGGCATACATTTTACTCCTTCCGTCACGCAAAATTTTCTGTTCTTCTTTACGAATTCCAACCACACTTTTTTTCACTTTTCTACACTTTTTCTTAAACTCCGTGAAAAAGAAACACATTAATTTTTTATGGTGCTGAAACATTCTCCATAGGATAACAGAAAAATGTTACATCTGTTTATTGAGACAAAATTTCTGGGTTTCGCAGGATTTGATGCTCAGAGAACTGAGACATCCCAATGGGGACCCTAAAATATTGGCAGCTCAGTCTATGAAAGAATACATAAAGGTATATTCTGATTTTTTTGTTTTTCCGTGTTGCCTGAGCTTTTAGCATGTGCCCGTGTGCTTTCTGTGCTTTGGGTCTAGTGTTGTTTTTACTTTATGTGTGCTTTTGTGTTGAGCTGAGGGTCTCTTGAAAACAGTCTCTCTACTTCCAAACTCCCAAGGGTTAAGTATGTTTGTCTTGTGGGATCCTAGTGGCATTGTTGTTATTTTATTTCCATTCTTCTCTTATCATAAATGGGAGTATGTGTTTTAGTGCAGTTGAAAAACAAACTGCAGCTGCTCACCTTAGGCATTGGTGGTTTCGGTGTCATCTCAGCATATGTTTCATATTCTCCCGAAGTTGCAGCAAGGTTCTTTCTTCTTCCCCTTTATTTGTGTTTTTTTTTGCTTATTTATTTAAAATTTGTGGCTCTTTTTGTTGTTTCTGTTCGCTGATTAGTTATACAATTGCTCACGCACAAAATATATGAATTTCAAAATAGGGATTGACATCATAAAATAAAATTGGATAATAGAACAATGAATTCCGATATGGTTTTCCCACCCAAGGCAATAAGTGTTTATTAATTTGTGCGACTCAAAGTCTCAAAGCAAATGTTATTTATTTCATAATGTACACAGCTATGGCGTCGGCTTGCTTGGGTCATTGGCATATTTGCGCATGCTTGGGAACAGTGTGGATTCCATACAAACACAAGGAGCCTCGGGGCTCGTAAAGTATGCTTTGTTTTAGATCATGCTTCTTTTAGTACCCCCCCCCCCCCCAAATGCTTACACGAATGTTAATACTTTTGCCTTTCCTTTCAGAGGAGCTGTAGGGCAGCCAAGACTATTGATTCCTGTTGTTTTGGTTATGATCTATAACCGGTGGAACGGGTAAGATCTTTTGCTTGTTAGCATTAAGTAACTTTCATCCGTCTTATATCTTTCCTCTCGTTTTGACTTGGCCACGTTTTTTATGTATTATGAAAAAATGTTTGACTTTCTATTTTTTCCCTTGGTGGTGTAGTAAATTCAAGATAGATCTAAGAAAGGTGAATAATGCTAAAGTATGGGTATAGTCTTTTAGTTGTAAAAGAGGAAGAAAGATACTAGACAATGTTCAAAAAGGAAACGGGGAAAAAGATAACCAAAACGGGTAAAATTATTGAGAGATGATTGAAAAAAATTATAATCGAATTGGAACTACATAACCAAAAATTTTGTACGCTACCACCCCATCCACAATTCACTTCGTGTTCAAATAATGCACTCCCCATCTCTTTTACACCTGTGTAATTTTAAATTACGCATCCCCCCTCTTTTTTACACCTGTGCAACTTCAAGAACTCCTTCACAATTCTCCGTTCCTTTGAAATTTCGACGCATCACCTCTGCAAGAATGAGGGTTTTCCGGAACCTCTGGGACAAAGCGAAAAAGTTGTTGATTGAACGCTTCTGGCCTACAAGAAGAAGGCGGAAGAAGTTTTCTTAGAGGTCTTCCTTTTCGGGATACTGTTCATCGAAGACCTCCAAGAAAACTTCTTCCGCCTTCTTCTTGTAGGTAGGCCAGAAGCGTTCAATCAACAACCTTTTCGCTTTGTCCCATAGGTTGCGGAAAACTCTCATTCTTGCAGGGGTGATGCGTCGAAATTTGAAAGGAACGGGGAATTGTGATGGAGTTATTGAAGTTGCAATGTGTAATAGAGATTGGGGATGCGTAATTTGAAATTGGCAAATTGCGTAGGTGTAAAAGAGATGAGGGTGCGTTATTTGAACACGGGGTGAATTGTGGAAGGGTGGTAGCGTACAAAATTTTTGGTTATGTAGTTCCAATTAGATTATACTCCGTAATTTTTTCAATCATCTCTCGATAATTGACAATTTTAACCTTGAAATCGTATTCTTTTTGTGAAGGATTGTGGTCCCCGAATACGGACTGATGCACCTTGAGTTGATCCCAATGTTGCTTGGATTTTTCACCTACAAGATTTCCGCTTTCATCCAAGCCATTGAAGATGTATTGTAGGGGTGGGATGAGGTGCGAGAATCGCAGCTGTCGCACTTAGTCCTTGTTTGGTTTGGAAGGTTGTGGGGAGGAGGGAAAGGAAAGAGCCAAGTAGTTCTCATTGAGTCATTTTAGACTTTTGTTTTGTTTTCCTTTTGGGTTGCTTTGTTTGATGAGCCTCACAATCAAAGATCCAAACATGGCACAGCTGAATATATGTATCTTACAAGTGCACAACTGGTTAGTGAATGCTTAGGAATTCATACAATGCTTGTTATTGTTTAAAATTAATGTAAATTACTTCCCTCTCCTTACAAAAAAAAACTCGGTTCTAATTTTGAGGAAAACCGATGTCATAATATGAAACCGGTCTAATTTTATTGACATTGACTATTTATTTGTGTTTATAAATATGAAAAATTATTTTTTGTGTGTCAAATAATCACAGCTATAAAACTTTTAAAATATTAGACCCAACAAAATAAAGGATCTTGTGTGTGTACACTTTTTAATGATATTTGATACACTTTTTGATGTTCAAGAGTAAATCGTGCAATTTTAAAAAAATTTAGAGATATTTGATATATTTTTTAATGTTTAATAATAGACCATGCAATTATCGAAGAATTCAGGTATAACTAGACAACTAGTGCATTTTGCATCAGGACTAAATTTCCCTGCCGTATTTCTTTAGATTCGAAGAGCGCAAATATTAAGGTATATATAACTTCAACAGAAAACAAGACACAACAGCTCTCGTAGCTCAGTTGGTTAGAGCACCCGTTTAGTAAGCGGGAGGTCTTGAGTTCGACTCTCAACGAGAGCATTTCTTTTTGTTTTTCCTCCCTTTTTCCTTCTCGTCGGAGTATTGGAGTAGCCAAACAATTCTAAGCACCATACAAACCAGGTCATTAATTAATGATTAAGGACACTGATTAAGAGAATGTAAACGTTTTTTCTGCTTTTTAAAACTCCATGATTAAGACCACATTCATTAATTACCATCACTTTAATTAACCTTACCAATTCCTTTCTTTCATGAACCATTTAGGACTTTGGGTGAATGAATTATATGGACACAAGTCTAATTACAGTGACAAATTTTAAAACAAATGCAATCAGCAGTAAATTCACCTTTTGTACAAAACAACACTAGAATAAATTAAAATTAAAAGATATCCTTAGTAAAACATTACAAATAAAGCAGAGAGTATATTCGTATGTAATAGTAATACGTGCGAGGTATTCAATAATATATTTAATTTTTTTATTGATAATTGATTTGGCTTATTAAATATATATGATATCAAAATCTTTTTTTACTAGAAAATAACGACTTCATGCATGCAATTTAATATTCTAAAGTAACTCCAACAAGCAAATTTATCACATGCTTTCATAAAAAAAGGCATTCAATTTACAAATGAGAAGACACGTTAAAATAAAAAAATACTATGATGGATTTAAATAGAAGGTAGAAGGTGGGAAGATGTCCAAATGGAGAGTACTTGGCACGTATGGCCATAAGGGTGTGCTATCACCAAATTTAGGGGATGCATTTGGCATTTTTACTACAAGTAAAATAAGTTGTCAGATTTTACAAATTTGCAAATATTTAAATTAAATTATACTTAGTAGATTTTTGGGAGATGTTGAAAATTATATTATACCCAAGGGTACTTTTTTTCCATCAAAATTATAGAATTCTGAAATTTTCTAAACTTGTTCTTTGGGTTAATCAAATTTCACACATTAAATGTTCAGGGTCGACCGTGAGGGTGTGCCAAGTGTGTACCCACACAAGTTTTAAAAGTTTTATAGCTGTGATTATTTGACACACAAAAAATAATTTTTCATATTTATAAACACATATATAAATAGTCAATGTTAATAAAATTAGACCGGTTTCATATTATGACATCGGTTTTCCTCAAAATTAGAACCGAGTTTTTTTTGTAAGGAGAGGGAAGTAATTTACATTAATTTTAAACAATAACAAGCATTGTATGAATTCCTAAGCATTCACTAACCAGTTGTGCACTTGTAAGATACATATATTCAGTTTTATTTTTAAAGAATTGGGAGAGTTTTCCATTAATGGAAGCTATCAAAACTAAGGGCTAATGCTCTTAACTCACTCTCAAGAAATTCCAAATGCATGCATGAGCAAACCTCTTCAGTGGGTTATTCTTAATTACTTCTTCTTTCCTTTTGCTAATCTTTCCAGGATTTCAATTAACCTTTCTAACCACTTTATATATATCTAGCTTTTTGTTGGGTTTTCTCAGGCATAATCTTTCATCCAAGAACATCTATCAATCTTGAATCTCAACTTTGTCTGTTTTTATAAGGTAATAATTGTTATTATTTTCTTTAAAAAAAATGTATATATACAACCCATGTTAAGTTTTTTTAAAATTGTGTTTATGATGTTGCACTATTTTTGGATTTGATGTTTTTCTCTCAAAATGTTTATTCCCACATTTGAATGTCCAACCATTAATTTGTTTTTAAATCAACTTAAATTCCAAGACCGATTGTAATTATATGATATTTCTATAGAGAATAATTTGTTTCTCCTTATGTGAAGATATGTGTTACATGATTGTTTGATGTTGCAGAGAGGCATAATAACAAGAAGACTTGTTTAAAAGACAAAAATGTTGAGAAAGAATGTTGATGAAGAGAAGAAACTAAAACTGAATCAACCAATTCTATCTGTGAGGCGAATTTCGTCGTCCCCTAAGAGTAGTAAAGATGAGGACAAAGAGGACAAGGAGAAGGAGCCAGTGAGGAGCCCCGGGGTTGTGCCCTTTGTGTGGGAAGATAGCCCTGGAAAACCTAAATCTTCTCCCGGGGATAGAACGGTAAATGTCAGGCATCAATGCTTTGATAAAGCCGTTAGAAGGAGGCTAAGTTTCACGAATGTCGAAGAACAACAAGAAACAAACTTTGTCTTCTTTAAAGGGCCCCACGCAAACGACAGGACAAACCCACACACGAAGGACTTCATGATCGGGCTATTCTTGCCAGCGAATAAGGGAAAAGGTTCAGAAATGCCCGTATACGCCCCTAGAAATCAAGGGCCATATCAAGGACCGAGAAGGATACGACGTTATCACCAATCACACGATTTCAAAGGAGAAGACAACGCCGAAGTACAAACAAACGGTTTCCCCCCTAAAGTTTTTCGAGGGGTGCCTCGTTTTTGCGTGAGAAGCTCAATTTTCATTGTGAATCCCATTTCCGCAACAAATTTTCATAGAGCACAAAAATACTCCTTTGCCCGTTCGTGCACGAGGGTAAATAATGAGGTATTTGTCCCAGTTTAGCTTAAAGTATCCCACATCGAAAAAATTAGAGAGAAAAATGAGCTAATTTTAAAGGTTATTGAATTCAATCTGTTTGATGGCTCAATTAAGTGAGTTCTATTCTCATATAAAGTTTGATTGATTGATTTGCAGCGACCAAAGGGTGATGTGACCAAGCAGATTTCAGATGTTCTTAATACAAGTCACAGATTCGCAGCCAGCGTCGGGCTTGACGCCATGAGAACCTGCAAAAAGTTCTGCAGGAAACTTCAAGATCTCATGGCCGCAGATCGCACTAGTTCAATGCAGGAAATGGAGGAATCTTCAACTCCAGAAACAGATTCTCCAAGGATGATGATGAACGAGCAAGACGAAGACGAAGACGAAGAATTCGCTGCAGATTTCACTTTCACTGATGATGATGATGATGACGACGAAGATGAGGACGAGGACGGTGATGATGATGATGATGATGATGATGATGATGGAGCGGAAAGAGTGGAGTATATGAGAAATCGAGGAAATTTAGTGTCAGATCTGCAAACTTCGTCGTATAGATTCGATGAAGACGAAGAAAGGTGTGTGAAGGAGGAGATGAGGAGTAGAAAATTAAGGCATTCAGCAGATTTGAGTTTTGAGTTTCCGGTTTCGCCGCCGCCATTGCCGGAATCTCCATCGGAGTCATGGCTCTCCCGCACTTTGCCTTCATTGTCTGCTAAATCTGCACCTTCAACCCCTCGTCGCCTTCCATTGAGATATCCCACGCCCAAACCTTCTGAGGTACAAATCTCATTGTCTTTCCCCATAAACACATAACGAATAAACATGTTTCATATTCTAATTATTTGCATAGTCTAAATTTTTTGCCATCAACAATTTTAAATTTTTAAATATATATCGTATATTAATTGAATAAAATAATGTTAAAAATATTTAATTAAATGAATTTAACGAGATTATATTTTATCAATACATATAATAACGTTTTTACTAAATTTGTGATCAAAATTTATCGATTTTAACAAAAAAATCAAAAATAAAACAAATATTCAAAGACGAAGGGGAATACTAAAACAGCACTCCATATTTATTACTACAACAGTACAAAAAAGGGTAAAATACCAATATAGAATGATAAATTGTGTTAATACTCTGATTTAAGATATGAAATATAGGCGGGCTTAATCGAATCTGATATAAGTTCAATGTTTTAGTCTTAATTAAATAGTCACAGAATATTCTCTCTTTGGTATGTATCACTGGTCGTCGTTATTTGTTTCTGGTTTGTGCAAGAATAGGTGAAGAGGGAGATTTTACAGCATAAAGAATGGTGATATGAAGAGGCAATTTGGCCTTTGGAATGCCAGTTCTTCAACTATGCGGTCCTTAACACGTGGAATATTTTATCTTTCTTTTTAGATGATTCTTCCTTTGGGAGAGGGGGTAATTGTTAGTATGATCATACCATTCATACACCATAAAATCTAAATCTTGATTTATGGATGATCTAAAGATTTTGATACCAGAGAGTATAAAAATATGCAAAGGACAAAATGGAAAATGTTACTACCTCCGTCCCATTGTCTTTGTCCAGTTTTGACTTTTGGAACTATTCATCTAAGCACTTTGACTCATCAAATTATCTCAATGTGTAAGCCTAAAAATAGTCATGTGTGATCTTGTTTGATTCGTCTTACCATATAGATTATTAATATATAATTTTTATAATTTTTTAATATACAAAAGATAGTGGGACGGAGGGAGTATATTGATCTGATATATGTATACTTTGTATTCATCAAAACCTTATGAGGCACAAATCAAATCATTGGACGGATAATCGGATCCGTTGATATCCAAGAATGTATAAATCACTAAATCAGATATAATATGATAAGTACTCTATATTCATCCCACGGGTATTTCTCGTAGACCGGACCCATTATCTCTGAACCTATGTGAGTATTATTCCATCACATATGAATTAAACATATATAAGGCCTGTTTGGGAATAGCTTTAGCGACTAGCGTTAGCGTTTTCAAAAGGCTATCTACGGGTAGCTTTTAGCGTTAGCGTTTTCAAATTAATCTGCACCGTTAAAATTTTATCTAAAACGCTGACGCTAATCGCTAACGCTATTCCCAGACAGGCCCATAAATACTTCATCCGTCCCTAAATAAATTTCTCTTTTCGTTTTTTTTGCCTCCAAAAAAACATCTCTTTTTTCTTAAAAAACCACTTTTACCTTTACTTTTTCATACCCTACCTATCACATCATACCTTTTTACTAATAATTTACCCATCACATCTTACTTTTATCCATCACATCAAGGGTATTTTTGGAAAGTCAACACTAAACTATCCCTCCCTTAATTTCCCAAAAGTCAATAAGGGAAGTTTATTTAGGGACGGGGGAGTATAATGAATAATTTCGCAATGCAAACATAAACAAAAGGCGAAGAATTTATTAGGGGACAAACAATGGGGGAAAACTAATACTCATTCTTAATAGGAAAAATTATACAGTACCATATAACAAGGATCATTGATCCCGTCTTAAAATAAGTGCTGGAAGGAGTGTAGTTTTTCTCCCAAACCAACGGTACAAATGGAGTATATAAAGCCTGATTGCCAGACCAACAATAATATATATGGCACTGGTATATTGATAATAATATGTACAAATCAAATACCTATTCCCAAACCACCAGAAGACATTATTCCCACAATTGATTGAGCTATAGCAAAAATTAATTAACCTCAATAATAATAATAATGGTATGAAGTGCTTGATGCGTTCAATGCGCAATTCGGGGAGAGCCAAACGAGGCCTAAGTTTTTATAGCGGGACCCTTGTATTGCCCTCTCAGAAATACAAATTCGTCGGGAGGTTGAAACTCTTCGAGCCAACTCACTTTGGATATTGCGACTCCATCCACTTCGAGCTCGCCTTCACCACGCAAAGAAGGAAAAAAAACTCTTATATTTTAATGCTAAATCATGAAGAGTTGGTTTGGACAACTTAATTTTGGGCCCATTATATTCTTCCCACCAAACATTAGCTTATTTAATTGTGCTGGCTGAATCGACTTAAAGTGGAGTTGTTAAGGAACAACTCAACCACAAACTCAAGCTTGTTATGGTTGAACAATTAAGAAATGTTTTATACTCTAACATAGTAATGTACCTACCCACGTGCAGGCAAACATTTTTTTACTCGATCCTTGCACAAAACATTACCTTAGTGCCACAAAGGTTGTCGTCCATTGCACGGTAAGGGTGGTTGGATGTACGCATCCTAACCCCTGTTTTTAAAACATTGCGCGTCTATTTTCAAATGACCAATGATGAATGCTAAAAGTAGCAATGAATAATTGCTACTTCATTATAAACAAAGTGCAGACAGTTAAAAATCATTTTGTTTTATTACCATACCCTAGAGCCAAAAGGTATTGAATCCTTGGCTCCATCGGAGATGATAAAAATACTCAAGTCTTGCACGTGAATATTTATTTTTTAACGCGTGACCTTTACATCAAGAAGGCTCTCATACCATATTAAGGAACTAACCCAATGACAAGCTTTCCACAAGCTCAAGCTTGTATTTGAACGCTGATGAAATGTTTCACTTGAAAAAAAGTAATGCAAAAGTTGCTTTTTAAGCCACCCTTTCATGTATGAGCCGTTCTTTCATGGTTTTAAGGTCCACATGTGCAATATGGAACTTCTCACACTTTTCATGGGCTGGCAAGGGGATCTTTTTTTTCTCTAAAACACCCAACTCTTTTATGATATCAATGCACTAAGGTTCATGCATTCAACAACTTTAGTTGAGTGAGTTGTTTCATTCATTTTAAGCCTTGCCAAATAGGCTATATGGTCAAAATTGTTGAGACAAAAGAAGTCATGGAGTTTCCAATACCTGGAAGATCCCGTCTTGGAGACTTCCGGAAGTAAGTGCAATGACGACCATCCTCAGAAGCGTATGGTGGAAAGAGAATGTCCAAGAAAGCGCAATGAGTGATGGCTTTAAAACAATGAATATTCCCGCCACTAGTTGGGTAGAGAGTTGTTGTACCACACGGAGCAATCATCTCACAATCTCTGACAAGCTTTGCCGGTCTTGCACCTGGAACCCATTATGATGAACTTGTCACAAACCAATGGTGACAAACTCACAAGTCATTCATCCACTTGGGTGGAAAATTTAATTTGATAAACTCCGTCCGTCTTAGAATAAATTGCCCACTTTCCTTTTTAATCTGACCAAAATAATTTACCCACTTTTTCTATTTTCCTTCTAGGAAAAGAATGTGGTAGAGAACACTTTATATGTTCAAAACAAATTCTAATCACCCATTTTTCACTTTTGTACCTCTTTTCAACATTTTACAACACGTTTCTTAATCTTCGTGAAACCAAATGTATAAGTTATTCGGGGACGGATGGAGCCATCCACTCTTAAGCTTAGCTTTAAATCCCAAATTTCTATTATAAATGACACACACCTTGGGATTGGGATAGATCGAAAGGCTCTCGTAGATCTATCCAATCGTATGCTTTCACTAATAAAGAACCATAGAGCAGCTTGCTTAACACTGTCATCCCAGGATGGTTATGAAGTGGAATGACAGAGGAAGGAGGCATGCAGAATATTCCCATCTGTTAAAAGCAAGTGTTAAACACGTTTCCTGTGACCAAATCAAATCAATTGATCCATAACAAAACCCAGTAAAACTGATTTTATTTCAAACACTTACAGAAAAGCTGTCACACTCATGTAAATGGAGATACTTGATAGCTGGTATGGATGGAAGATGCCGCCCATTGAGCACACCCATTGTACCATTCCGAGTTCGTACTAATTGTGCCTCTTGTTCAAGACCGACATCAGAAGGCTTGAATTTTTCTGGAGCAAAAACAGCACTGCAAAAGTTAATACTTTGCAGCAATTAGATGTATTTTAGTGTATGCAACCTCTGCTTCCATTCTATCCCATGGGTTGGGAAGGTGATAATTTTTTTAGCCTTTTGAAGTTACAAATATGAGGAAATAGATTGACTAACAAACAAATGTACGGACACAAGGCAATTTTCAACTATCTACAAGGCAAATAAGGCAAGTTCAATAATACACATTCCCATTCAATGTTTCCTAAGTTATCTTATACCGAGTACAACATGCCCACCCCAGACCCCACTCTATGGGATTCTTCTAGGACTTGCTCCCTTCATTCCACAATATTTGTCTATTCAAGATTATTAGATACATTAGAATTTGAATGAATGTAGACATAGGTATGTCTACATTCATTTAAAATGTAATGCATCTAATAAACGTTAATAGACAGTTATTGTGGAATGGATGGAGTATTGTTGTAAGCATATAAATAAATAAAAGCTTAACAAGTCATGTGTTTGTCTAAAGTGATCGAATTTTCAAATGTGTGAATGATGATTGCCATTGTTTTCAATAGAAACTTAACAAGTTATTGGGTTTTATGAGGATATCACTATGCAGCCATAAATGAATTGCACCCTCCTACCTAATATAGCGCGAGCTTTTTCGAGTGCCTCTTCAGAAACAGGCTCATTTGTTGAGAGTGAAGCCTTGCAAGAATTGTAAAGCTTTTGTACAGCTGGCATGCCTAACAAACCTTACTACACCAACCACTGGTTATTCACTTTGAATTTTTTTCTCTATGGATTGTTATAGACCGAAGCTATACATCGTCCGAAGGGTCCTCTATTTAGTGAAGACCCTTCAGAGCCGAACTGGGGGAAACACCTTAAATAAGAAACTGTTCCATTGTATCTTCAGCACTACCTAGTGAACCAAAAAAAACACAAATACAAGAGTCAGCAAATCACCCCGCAAACCGAACTCTGAAATGTTTGAACACAAAGAAACATTATTTCCATCATCACATCAACATGCCTGTTTTTACTCAATCCATACCTTATTCACCTATACATTATTCAAAAACCAAAGGCTACGAACCGCAAAACCATACAATAAATTGAAGAAATTTTCTACACAATACCATACTCCCTCTTGTCCCAGAAAAAGGATCCACATTTCCTTTTTGGCATGTCCCAAAATAACACTCCACTAAATTGTACTGTTCGCGTTATTTCTGCATAAATTTCAACCACACAATTTCAATTTTCTTTAAAACCACATCGATTCCGGACAATGTGGAACCTCATTGCCTAAATATTGGTAAAAGGGAGTACATATCATTATATCAACCCGCCGAAAACCCAAAAAAACAAAAAATGTTCTGAATATGAATATAAGAATAAAATTATAAATTGAGAAAGGAGATGAAAATGGAAATTTGTATAATTCGGCGGAAAAAAATAATCGCATATTCAAACAAATAATAGAACAGTAACAGCAGAAAGCTAATATGTGTAGCAATCAGTGCTAATGAATTGGTCCCCATGAATGAAGAGAGACTGACCTAATCGAAGAACAGCGACGGAGATGGAGACAGATAATAAGGATTAAGGAGAAGCGTGAAAATTCTTCTTCTTCAGGTCCGACCCGGCGGGGCTCCGGGGGGATCCGACCTCCGGGAATGCCTGTTTTATTTTCAATTTTGCAAAATCATTAGTTGCGTACGGGCAAAAGAAAAACGTGTTTTGTTCGCTGCGAAATGCAAGTAAGCACCGTATCCCTTTTGTCAGACTTTTTGTTTGGTCCGTCCATACAAATTTTATCTCAAGCTCTTCTTAAAATGTTTTTTCAATTAATATTTACACAATTAAATTTTAATTATTTTTTTATTTATTTTTATTAGTTATGAGTATTTGATATACTAATTTTTTTTGTCACTTTTTATTTTGTAGAATTTTCGATATATTTTTTTAATATATACGGAGTAAATTTTATTTGTTTATCAAATAAGGAGGGAGTCTTTTTTATATATTTATGGGTGTTTCTCGATGTTTATAAACTGATCAAAACTATTCTTAAGCTATTTTTTCGTTTAGAAAAAAATTACTCCGTAAGTCTTAGCTACCATTCTTAAGCCATTTTCTCGTATTGATTAGGTTAATTATAAAACTGCTTCTCACAATTTAGAAATATTTATAAATGATTTATTTCTCATTTAAAGCATAACAATTCCATTAAAGAATATGTAACTAATAAACTGCTTATAAATCAAAAAACTAATTGTCAATAACAAATCAATAAACACTAGCACAACAAAACAAAAGTACAACAAAACACAGTCCTTTATATTATACCGGGAAACATTATCTATATGATCTTTACATAATAGAGTAAAATTGTACTATTCCGTAACAAGATGATGATTAAGAAAAAGGTCGACTCCACTATAAATCATTCCCCATGACCCGGCGCAATAAGTGGGCCACGTGACAAGAAATTTCATTATTTCTTTTTTTTTTCTTTAAAATCCTAATGCGAGTAAAAATGCCGTCCATGTCGCTTTCGCCTTTCACCCCGTGCCGGCGGCGAAGCACGGCGTTTCAAATGTTCCACGGCGGAACACCACCGAGCACTCCGGCAGCTCGCCGAGATCCCCGAACAAAGGCTGGTCCTCTTCCCCGACGGGCAACATGAGCGCGACGTCAGCATCGCGCCACAGAACAGACCCCGCCGCCGGGATCTCCACGAAACGGGACCCCACGTCGGGGAACCACCCCAGATCGCCGGCGATCTCCCGGAAGCAGTCGATCTCCGGGTCTGGGTCCGCGAAGATGTGCAGATCCGGAGAGGGAGGGGGGACGGGATCAGAGGCGGGGACGGTGGCGACGGCGGTGGTGTGGTGGTGCTGGTGGTGGTGGATTTTGGTCGGCGGCGGGTGGTTGTGGGTGGAGGAGTAGGTGAGGATGAGCGTGGTGGGGTCCAGCCGGCTCCGCTCAACTTGTTTCCTTGCCGGACAGCCTTTTGAGCTACTACATCGATAATATCCCCTGCATAAAATCAATGCATTCATTAATTTTTTTTTTACTTTCCTAAAACTTAATTGTTTTTATTAATTACTCCGTTGAATTTAATGGTTAATCTAAACCTGTCTAGTTGCATGAAAAAGTCAAAATTGCATTAGCATGGAAGTTGGGTCTAAATTGACTTTAGGTCTTTGACACTAAAATATCTCAAAAAATATGCAACATTTTTTATTCTTTAAATTTAATTTATTTACAAATTATTATAAAAAATGTAACTTACATATTTGATAAAAACATTTGCAAAAATAAGTAGTGAGAATAATGTTAAATATTATCAAATCATCAATGCAAAAATTAAAATAAATAAAAGTTATCGGATATCCAGAATAGTAACTATGAGCAAAATAAGTATTTTTTACTATTCAAATAAGCATTTATTTTTTTAAAATAAAAAAATAAATTTTTTATGTGAGATCTAGAAAATTGATATGCATCTAAGGTACACCAAAGAAGCATTCTTCCATAACATGACTTCAAAAGAAAAGAGTTATAGAGTAAAATATTTCTTCATTATAATGGTGTATCTCTCCACTAAAATTATGAAAAATGACTAAACTATGACTAAACTATAGAAAAAAATAAAAATTAGAATTTCACATTGTTAATCCCTAAAATAAGAATACAATACCAATAATACTAATATATAGAAAATGTTTGGGAGTGCTTAACATGTGAATAAAGTGATTTCCACAAAAGCTAAAAGTAAAAGTACCTCATAACTGCTTATCCAAAATGATGTTCTATACACAAAATATTGGTGGGAAAAGCAGAAAATAACATGCCAGACAGAATAAAAATACTACCACTCAAAGCATAAGTTACATTCTTAAAAGCAGCGCACTATCAAATACCATCATATTACCAAAAAGTATAGTAGGATGCCACTAAATAATGACATAATATCATAGTGTAAACTCTATTTTGGAGATAGATATCAAATTTTTACTCTAATCTGAAGTGATTTTTTTAAAATTACAGAGCCGATCGAGCACACTAATTGGTGCTCAGTGCATATAAGACTCGTAGATGTATGACAGAGAAAACATAGAACTACACAAAATGTTCTACTCTCTCCGTCCCCCTATATTTGTTCACATTTGACTTTTGGACTTGTTCATCTAAGTACTTTGACTCATCAAATTCTCTCAATGTGTAAGCCTAAATATAGTCATGTGTGATCTTGTTTGATTTGTCTTAACATATAGATTATTAATATATAATTTTTATAATTTTTTAATATACAAATTATAAGATAAAATGGATTAAAGAAATGCATTGGATGGTGTATAAAAATTAAAGTGAACAAATACAGGGGGACGGAGGGAGTACCAAACGTGTCCATTCAACGTTGTCCATTTAATATGTAAAAACCCGTGACTTTTAAAATAGTTTTATTTATAAATTGATATAAAAATAACTATATTAAAAAAACTACACAAAATGTTCTACAAAACAAAAAGTAACAAGAATAATTTGTTTTATCAAATAATTAATGAAAATATGTAAACAAATAAAAATTATCAAGATATCGCAAATAGTAAATAGGTGAATAATTTTGAGGCGGATGGCGTACTTTCAAATAGGTTTGACAGATATGCCAATCGGGTCGAGTCTGAAGTACATTTGAGTCGGATCCGGATTGGAATACTCATGTCAAAAATGTCATTGATTCATGTCGATTAAACAGCCATTAGAAGCCTAAAGATAACCTAAGACTTTCAAATTTTAATAAAGTTTAGATTTTTGTGTATCACAATATAATACTCCGTATATGATTATATTTAAAAACCATATTAGTTAGGATTATTTTAAATAATTCTTCATAGTCTTAGGGGCTGTTTGTTTCAGCCTCTTAATGGTTCAGATGTCTGAATGATTCAGCACTTAATGGTTCAGACTGTTTGTTTCAGCCTCTTAATGGTTCAGATGTCTGAATGGTTAAGAGATTTGCCTCTGAATGGTTAAGTATTATACAGAGTCTGAATGGTTAAGAGCTCTTATCTGTATTGATCAGACATTTGCCTCTGAATAGTTAAACAATATACAAGCTCTTAATGGTTCAGACCTCTTACTGGTTCAGCACTTAATGGTTCAGACTTCTTACTGGTTCAGTACTTACCCATTCAGAAGTTGCCAAACAGCCCATTAATTACATTATGCGGATTATCTCATACTGTACGTGTAAAAAAGACCACAGCCCACGGGTTGGCCACCCAACCAATCACCACACCCATTCAATGCATCACATGGGCCCCACTCACATTAGTGGCCCGGCCCGTCGGGCAACTAAAATCTAAATGAGCTGATAGACATTAAAGACAATTCATGGCCACTTAATACTTTTTCCGCCCTTCTTAAATATGCCCACCACTCCTTCAATAAAAAAATTAGCCCTTATTTGGATAGTTTTTTAGGAAGGTCTCACATTTAAAAGATTGAGTTAGCCTGATGGTAGCATTTAGTGTTAATGCTTCCACAGTTAATCTATACCGTTAAAATTTTATCCAAAACAATAACAGTAATTTAAAATGTTCATCCCAAACAAAGCAGAGGAAAAGATATAAAAAAGAAAATTTTGGTAGAAGAAAATGAAATTATTTTTCCTCATCTTGTTTGGATATTTTAAGGAGCAATGAAATTATTTTTCCTAATTTAAGTAAACTAACTTCTCTAGCTATGCACTTTAACCACTTCGTTTTTTAATTTAAAAAAAATGGAAAAACAAAAAAAAAATAAATCTCTTATAACCATCCTTGGAAAAAATGTGCATAAAATCTAAAGAACAAATTATTACCTGGGATAAGGGGAGCCTTTAATGGGTTTTTGGCCGTACTTCCGCCACGACCAAGAATCCGGCGGCGGGTAGACTTCCGCTTTACTCCGTGATCCGTCGCCGCCTACCGTCGGCACCGAAACAACCCTCTTCTCCCCTCCCTTCCTGCTAATTACTTACCGAGTATTATATTCATAATTCATACATGCAATTAATTTCTATGCAAATTTCGTTACTCCTTAAATAACTAAATAATCATTCGTTTTTATACTAAATAAGCATTCGTTTTTTTAATAAAAAATTAATTTTATATGTGAGAATGTCCATAAAAATTATATGGACCCAATGTGTACCAAAAGAAGCCGTCTAAATTCTGATGCAGTTTTGAGAATTAATCTAACAATTTAACATTTTGAAAAATATTATCGTTACAAAAATATTTAACTTTAACATTTTCAAAAATGATATGTACCGCAAAAAATAAAATTTACGAGTAACTTTTACGTCAAAGATTCAATAAGTTTTAGTGCTATATATTTAGTGCAAATATTTCTAAATTTTGTTACTAAATTTCCTACACACTTAAATAAAAATAAAAATAATTTCATTCAAGTTTTATTATACCCCATTTATTTACTTCCTACCTAGGAGGGAGTATTAATTTTTGGATTGCTCTTTTTTTCTTGTGTTAATAATAACTGATTTAAAAAAATCTCTTTGAATTAAATTGTACGGAGGAAAATTACTTTCATAAGCGAAATATTAATTGAATCTTAAAAAGTTAGTTGAAAAAAGTACGGAGTAAGTAATTAAGTAGCGAACCTTTTTCTAGGCGGCGATGGGGTGCTAACGTCGGCGGCTTCGTCGCCGGACAACGGTGACGCGGCAAAA